TAAATTTGTTATTTTCCAATAACTTAATAATGTTATAATATATTTGTAGTTGTCCTGTATGTCGTTATAGTCAGAAAAGTAATGTTCTCGATCCATCATTAGGACAAAATGAATGCGGGGTTTGCGGTGTCACGGAGAGTTTGTGGATATGCCTTATATGTGGCAATATTGGTTGTGGTCGATATCAAGAAGCACATGCATATTGCCATTATAAAGAAACTTCACATTTATACGCTTTAGAATTAGAGACTCAAAGAGTTTGGGATTATGCTGGTGACGGGTAAATTAGAATAATTAGAATATTTCATAATTATGCAATATCAAGTGATATAATTATTAAATTTTCGTTATTTTATTTCATAAAGATACGTTCATCGTCTAATACAAAACAAATCTGACGGTAAACTAGTAGAGCTACCTAGCCCCGATGGTCCGCCTCAAATGCAACAAGCACGTGCGGAAGTTGACCAAGTGAGTGTGATTGTAAAAACGTCTATTATATGAATTATAACTCATGTAAATCTCAATTAGGATAAACTTGATGCAATTGGAATTGAGTACAGTTACCTATTATCAACCCAGCTTTCTTCTCAACGAGTTTACTATGAAGAAAAACTTGAGTCGGTCACACTTCAATTATCAAAACTAACAAGTCAAGTTCAAAAGTTGGAGGATGAAATTTCAACTTTGAATCAAGATAAAGATAAATATAAAAAAGAAAATTATTTACTTGAAAAAGAAAAGATACCATCTTTGATAAAAGAGAAGAAAGTTATTGAGAAGAAAATGGAAAAATTTACTGAAAAATCAAACAAACTTGAAAAAGAATTGAATGGTGAGAGAGAGGTAATATATTTTACTGTTTAATGTATGCTATGTTGTTTTACTTTGTTGTGGAAAAAGAATTTTATTAACCATCTTCACATTTATATATTAGTTGACAAAATCTTTACTAATGAAACAAGAATATTTGCAATCTCAGTTGGAAAACAAAGACGTAAAAATTAAAGATCTCGAAGAACAAGTGCGAGATTTGATGTTTTTCTTTTCGTCACAAGAAAAATTAAAAGACAACCCTGAGTTAGCGGGTGGAAATATTGTTGTGTCAGAGAATAGTGGTAACAGCGGTGGGAATGCGAGAAAGAAAAAAGGAAAAAGGTGAATTTTTATTTGATTATTAAATAATCTGTATTATAGTACATTGATATGGTCATTAAGCTAGTGTAAGGAACAATTTCTCGTTATAAACAATAATAAAAGCAAATTGTTTTCTATAAAAAAAATCTGGTACCAACTGTATCAACCAGATACAAAATGAAACTCAAATGTAATATAATTAACAGCTTTCTTTTCAAAAAAAAAAAAAAAAAAAAAAAGAACCGTCTATTAGCTCAGCAAACTATATTAAGTCTACATTAGAAAAAAATTTTTTTTTTAAGCAATGATCTCTCTGTCTAGAAGACTTTATTGCTTTTTCGCTTTTTTAATTGATGCTTTATCCGTTTGAGGTTGTTGTGCTTCAACAAGATTACCAAAAAGACCAGAAGTCTTGAATGGTCTTTTCAATTCACCTTCTGCTGGTTTACCAAGCAAATGAATCTGGACGATCGGATTCTCATACGTAATCTTGAGTGGTAAAATGGACTGAATGAATAGAGGTTGTGTAAATTCAAACCAAAGGTGTAAAATCATCATAAAAATAACTCCGACAATGGTTTGCTTAAGAAGTTCTTGAAGTTTCCCAAGATCGTAATCGCGATTATTTGTTTCCACATGTTTTGGAGGTTCATCTGTTAGACGTTTTGCTGGTTCAACGTATTCAAGAGGGGTGGTATCTATGCATTAAATATGGATGACAATTACGAAACTAATTAATGGTTTATAAAATCTAAAATAATATGAATGGAAAACTTCAATAATACCATTTTTTTGCTTTATTTTTGTTGCAAGATAATAACAAATTGAAAGAATAAGAGTTTGGACTCCTATATATCCAGCACGAACATATATAATGGACTCCGGATTTTCAAGATCTAATTTGCGAGCAATTTGGACGACAATAAGGATGAGCACTAGGTTCAGCACCTAAAAACGGATTAGTGAATTTAAATCTTAGTAGAAAAATAAGTACAGAACGCTGAATAATACCTGAGAGTTCATGTTCACTTTAACTAGAAATAATTATTAAAATAATTAAGAAAAATTATTATTAAACTCTTGTACGTCCCATTATGCATCCTCAAAATTTATACGTATGTTGCCTGATGTCTATATTTGTCTATCCCGTGACTTGTGTCAATCTTTCGGATCGGTTCATTTATACGTATAAATATTCGGCCGGGTTACAATTTGGAACAAGTATTTTTCAGTGTTGGCCTATGACCTTAAATGACCTATATGACCTTTATGACCTGTCATAGGTCATTTGGTCATAACGAAGATTGATATGACTTATGACCTTTTTTAATATAGTAAGAATCATAGTAAAGATTTTTTTCATTAGTATTTAATATGACCGGATGACTATGACCAAAAAGTCATACGATTATATGACCAAGGTCATATAGGAAAAAAATGGCATGACATAGTCATTGGCCAACACTGGTATTTTTGTTCTTTGAACTAGCTTTCGGTAATTACTAGAGGTGCAGGCGAATCGTCCCAATGATGCCGTAACTATATTACTGATTAAAATGATTATAAAAAGTTACGGCATGTCTGCCGTAATTTTTTAAATTTAGTTACGGCACGTTACGGCAAAGTTACGGACGATTCGCCTGCACCTCTACGTAGTAATTACAGCTATATATTATCATTACGATAATTTCTGTGTTTTTCGGCCAAGTTTGTGATTTTGGGATAAATGGATCAGATGTTCGGATAATTCTCATAGGAAAAGTCGTCTGATTGGCTCAACAGGTAGGATCGTCCCGAGTTTGCAGATCGTTACACGAGAGATTCGATTGATATAAAATTTTTTTTCGGAAGCTCGGTGTTACAACCGTGGGAGAGACTTGGCTAACATGAGGACAAATTAGCTTAGGGTTGCAAGCATAGCGATAGGTTATGAATGTTATTAGGGGATTGGAATTAATGATAATGGTTTATTAAGGAATGTATTTATATTTTATGCTACAATTACTGCCTATCGCTATCTGTTAGCAAATTTGTGCATTGCCAGCTATGAGCATATTTCATGTTGTCTCAAATCAACCTAAATTAGAATCTCAAAATTCATTTGGTTCGAAATTTGGTAAGTCTTTCTTTTGTCATACTTCATTGATTTTCATTCTTATTTTTTTAGCAATGATGAAAGTAAAGATCTGCAAGTATCATATCAATTGTAATTGCTAGTAGGTTTATGTAAGCATTTTAATGTTATTAGTGTTACTGTATGTGTTCTACTTCGTATACAACAGTTGTAATAGAACCCCAAACAATCTATAGACAGGTAAGATTTTAATTTGCTTATTTCAAACTACTTTTTCTGTAGATCTTTTTATTTTTAGTAATTAGTTTGCTTATTTCAGGCTTTTTTTCTGCAGATCCTTCTATTTTTAGTAATTTT